GAAACTATGAAGCATACAATGTTATTGATCAATTGTCTTGTTGCAAAATATAGATCTTGTTAGTTGTAATACGAATTGCATCATGTTTTCTATATATGGAACAAAATTCTACCAAAAAAGCCTCTAGATTATCTAATATTGGATCTCGTCATTCAAGAAAAGATGAAAACCATGATAATGCTGAATCTAAAAGAACCGTACCAATGAATCTAACTTGCAATCCTAAAGTTGGATAGCTTTGGGATTGAAGTTCAATCATAAGTTTTACTTGATTAATAAATCCTCTAAACTTTGATTTGGTGTCATCAAACTTTTCGAGTAAGAGAATTCTAGGTTCTCTAACACTGGAAGGGCATTCCATCATAGGAGAAGGGACATGATTTGGTGTAGATATTGAAGCAACTCCAATCATTTCTATATCTTCACTTCTTGCCAATCTTGTTGCTCCTTGTGGTGGTAAATTGAGTTGATGCATCGCAAGCATTAACTCCCTCAATTGTTCTTGCATTTGTGCCATTGCACTCTTCATTTCAGCAAGTTCTATCATGATAATACTTAGAAAAAAAAAAAGATGTCTAATATCACTCAAAACAAATAGAAGAGAGGACTTGAAAACAAAGAAAATACTAAGGACTATATCAGTTTAGAAGAAGGTAATCCACAACTTCTAATATGCTTATGACTTATCAAGAGAAAGGAGTAATCCACTCTTAATGAAGATTAGACAAAGCTCTGATATTGTAAGTGTACTCTTGTCAATCTTTTAAGGACAAGAACTTGATAAAGATAAATAAACAAGTGAGACTTTTCTCAAAGAAAGATGAAAAAATAAAAATAATTCAATGTGTATATTAAGAAAGAAATTGGAATGGCTATTGCCAAAAGACAAGAAAATTAGAGACCCTTGAAACTAGACTAGAAGCAAGAAAAGAGTTGAGAAGAGTGAAGAGGGCTTCACTCTTGTCTCTATATATACTATCTAACTAAAGGCTACGTAGCGATGTTCTATAGAACCTCTAATATGTGTTGACTTCGTAGGATACATGCCTTGACTTACAAGGCAAGTTTTTCCATGTAAAGGCTTCATAGTTAGCTTGGTCTTCATACTTATAACATAAGTATTACATGGCCAACTTGTTGACCACGTTTCTAATCCAAAAAGTCAATTAAAGACACCTATAAAGTCAAAGCAAAATCTATGAAGCTTCTAAGAAGCTTTCATAGTAAATATTTTAGAATTAACTTACTTTTATCTACTTTTACTTACTTCTATCTATTTATATATGTAATTACTAGCTTATATGCATTTATCCGTGACACCAATGCGTAATTGTTTGTATCATGTGAAGATGTATTTTTACATCAATACACATATCATCTACATCTTCTTTACTTGCATTCTTAGAAGTCAGTTCATTATGGGAGGATTCAAAAATTTGGATTGTGATGAACTAATTTTATTTGTTGTTAGATAGTGTTTTTGCAATTAAGACCCTCTTTGCCATCCACAATCAATTCTACAATCTTATTTATTTATATATCTTAAAATCAAAATTATTTAAAATAATATATAAAAATAAAAAAATATATATAATTTAATAATATAATAAAATATTTTAATAATAAAAATATAATAAAATTAAAAATTAAAAATTAAAAATATAATTCATTTCTTTAAAATTTAATATAAAAATATATCCTTAAATGTTAAAGAATGTGATTAGATTTAGCATAAAAATTCATTAATAATTTCTATTTAATTAATTTTATGTACAATTGTCAATGTATAATCGATTTTATGAATGAATTTTTATATCTTTTAAATTTATTTTATAATTTGGTTAAATTATTTAAAGTTAATGCTTTACATGTATGTATAAATACACAAGATTTTTTTGGATAGTTATACTTGATTTGTGATTTATTCTTAGATCGGTACAATTTTATTCTTAGAATTTAAATCTGTAACCATTATAATATTTTTGTATTTTTTATATCTATATTTATATTTCTAGAATTAAAAATGTCTAATTTTTTATCTATATTAAATTTTAAGAAGATATTAAAAAAATACCTATTGTATTTATAAGCAATAAAAAAATTGAGTTGGTTAAAATCGAATCTATTTAAAACTAGATTTAGTATAATCAATCTCAACTTTTTAATTAATATTTAAAGTATTGTGTCTATTTTTCTATTTTGATTATTTTAATAAAAAGAATAACTTATAATAAAAAACACACCTTTGCAATTGCTTTTAATCTTTGGTATAATTATTTTTGATAATTAATGCACTAAATATTCTTAGGTTATGTTACAAATATCTTATTATGAAATATATGCAATTAAAACTAATTGAAAAATGGATTTCTTTCAATTATTTAGAATATAGAATAATTTTTTTGTTGGTAGGATAGCTTTGCTAAACTTTAAGAGATTGAACTTACACAATCAATAACCGTTAGCTAATTTCTAAACAAATATTAGAAAAACAGTTCATATACTGGTAGTATTTTTAGACAGTTCTAATGTTTAGATTATCTTATAAATGTAATCTCTAAAAATATATTTTTTACCTGAATAAAACTATAATAAATTTTATAGGATTATTGATGTAATGTTGCATTTGAAGTTATATTGGATATATTCTTCGAATAAGCCATTAAAAGATGAAAGATTTTGTTAAATATCAAGTATTCTTCATTAGCTCCAGAATTAAAATATATTGTCAACATTAAAAGTTTACAACACTATAAGATATATATATATATATATATTTAATACTAAATACAAATAATAATTTTTTTAAAAGATTAAATAGATATTGATTTTATAAATAAAAAAATAAAGTACTTCGACACATTTCTTCTCAGCTTAAAAATAGGCAACGTTCTGTCTTGTAATACTCTTATGCCTAGATAAATAATTTAAAATTATAAATAAATATGGATAGATTTTTGTGCCAATCATTTTTTTATGAAGTTTTATTTCAGAGTTTATTTTATTTTATATTTATATTTATAATTAAATTTTTATGACTTTTTTTTAAATTGATTACTAGAGCAATTAATTATTCAGGCAGTATTTAGATAAAAAGTCAACTAAAAAAGTATCAAAGCTAGCAAGTTAATCTATGTTTGTCGATTTTTAATAACCAAAATATCTTTTCTATATATATATATATATAGTCATAATTTTAGCCACAAAAAAAATATAAAAATATATTTTCATGTATTCTATAAATACTTAACATAATAGTAAAGTGGAAACCAAATACCACAATTGTAACAATCATGAAATTTTCTAAGAACGAAATATGATGAATTTATTTATGTCAATATTTTTAATTTGATACATATAATATGTCTTATAAAAAAGTCTTTATTGTATTTTTATAATATATTAATAAGTATAATTGTTGCAATTAAAGACATATATAAATTTGGCTTAGATTTTTCACTAAATAACAAATCTTTTTAATAAACTATATTAAAATAAGAATTTAAACATATAGAATGTTTTTATTCATATCTGTAATATCTTTCACAAGAATAAAGATTTAATATTATTACTAGCATAAAGTAATATCTCAAATCGCCATAGAAATTCTAAATGTATTTAAATGTGAAAAAAATTCTCAAATTGCCACTGAATTTTTTTTTAATTGTAATATTCTAAATAAAAAAATTAAAGTATAATGTAATTTTAAAAAAAAATTAAATATATCATTTATTAATCAATCAAAAAGATTGTGCAATTGAAGAACAAGACAATTAAAATCTAATTAGAAATTTAATAAGATTACAAGTAAAAAACATATTCTTTCTATATACATATTAAAAATAATATTAAATTTTCTTTAAAAAAATAGATTGTATAAATTTGATGTCAATATTTTATAAAAAATAGTATATTTTATAAGAATTAAAATACATATGTTTGTATTTAGTATTGAATGGTATATATTTTAAAATTTATTTAATGTGTATGTTTAATTTCATACATACAAATTGTATTTTTAAATTCTTTTAATGTATATATTTTTAAATTCATTTTTATTAACCATCCCCCTAAAAGCTAATCTAGAAATAAATTGTTCTTGTCCCATTTTTTAATACAAATATCAATAAACTTGGTGTAGAATTTAACACATAAACTAATGGTTTGTTCCATTGAATTAAATTAATTTTGATTAAATGTTCTATTTTTACAATAAAAATGAATATATTAACTTTAGCTAGAGAAATTGAATAAACAAGGTCTTTTGTAGTGGATATTGGCCTTTAGACAATATAGTCAAAAACTTTTGATACATAATAATGAATTATGACCAAGTTGAAATTTCTCCCTTCTTATTTCGATAGCAATGTGAAGTCTTTACGAAAAAAATTGGTTCAATATATTTCTTCGTCAAAAATATAATACAAACTTTGATGCCCTTACCAATAAACAACAGTATCTTTACGATCAGATTGACAGCACGGTTTTGCCAAATTTTGCATATATATATATATATATGAACACGTACAAAAATTATCAACAAAATTTTCACTTCTAGTTTACTAGAGTATCATTCTGTCAAGTATTGTTTAATTTCAATGTAATTAACCTTGTACATTCAATTGATCACTTCGTGATTTTTCTAATTTCTGTATTGAAACATAAATATATGCCCATGGCAATGTTTCAAGGTTTTCAAAGTTTGTAAAATGTAGAAATAAAATTTGGTTTAGGTTTAACCTATTCCCAGTTTCAAATTATTCAAATCAATAATACAATGATAAATTCAAGGTCCACCCTATCATTTGTGGTATGGTATTCAAGAAGATAATGACCTAAAACTTGTCCAATATATTACAGCCTGGGCAGAAAGGACGTGACATCGTTATAATGCTTCAAGATTCTGAACTAATTTCACATAGGCATTTGGAGACACTAGTCAAGAGTCTACAAAACCGTGGGACATGCAAGAGGACGTGCAAAATACAGCCATGACATTATTAGGATTCACTTGTAAATAATACTGGCATTTATCTGAAAGCACATTATTACACATGTATAGCAAATGGATTCTAAAAGGCCAATATAGGGATTTGCAAAATTAACTGGAAGGATGTGCAAATACTCTACGCTGTTGCTTGTCTCATATCCTCCTTCCGGAAACATGCTCGCCTAGCAGCCCGAATGATGTCATCAATCTACAAAAACAAGATCGAGTTATTTCACTAGATCCTTTCACAAATCAAAGAAACAATTCAGAAATAAACAAATTACAAGACGAACCTTTTATGCAAAATTCCAACCACGCTTTGCAAAATAAAATTAGTGATTTCATAGAGATGAGGCGTCTTAGTATAAACAATTCATAATTGTATATTTTAAAACAAAACAGTCCTCCAAGTCAAGACTACAAACTTCACATCTACGAAGACGACATACAAGCATTGAAACAATTACTTTTTTGCACATTGCTTCAAAGACTTACCTGAGGCACTGCAAGACGCTCTAAGTTAGCGGCATAGGGCATGGGCACATCAGCACCACAAATTCGCTCTACTGGAGCATCCAAATAATAAAAGCTCTCCTCAACGACGCTTGCACTGCAACACATTAAATAATCGATGCTGTTAGAAGTCGAGGAAGATACACTCGATTGATAATATGTGAGCGTAAAATTGCTTAGAGAAAGCACACAGTAGGAATAAATCACCTAAAGTCAACTACCCAAAACTTTATATTACTTTATATAGGTCCAAGGAGCATCTGAACATAATTTGATCCACTGACACAGCTGAGAACAATACATCTAATAAAGAAAGGACTAGTTAAGATAGAGATACTGCAACATCATACCAGATCTCAGCACCGACTCCATGCTGGGGCCAGCCTTCCTCAAGTGTCAACAATCTCGAGGTCTTGCGCACTGATGCGTTGATTGTTTCTCTATCAAGTGGTCGGATTGACCTAAGGTTAATTACCTACAGAGAGATTCATTTAGCATCCGTCAGAACACTCGCTCAAATGTTCTCTGCGTGTTGTGGAAACAAGTTCTGAAACTATATCATAGAGATAAAAACATCCACAAAAGACTAACCTCTACGCTTATGCCTTCTTTCGCAAGTTCATCGGCTGCCTGTCCAGCAATGTAACATGTGTGGTCAATAGCTGTTTTCCTAAATCCTTAGACTCCAAGAAAGAAATAGAGATAGAAATCCATTGATAGAATGTTGGTTGGCAACTAAACAAAGAGCTCTGACAAACTGATACAAAATACCCTTGCACAGAATACAACTGCACCTAGAAACACAAAACTAAGAAACAACTCTAGCGTTGCTACCTTCAAAGCATAGCCGACCATCTTCGAGAACGCAACAAGTGTAAGATCGTTTCCCTCCCTCATAATCTGCAGAGCAACATAGGAGGTAGTTGAGGTAGTCTTATCCAGTCACATTGAAAGACCATACAAAGGTTCATTAGTGAACAACTAATCAAATCAAGAACTATCAAATAAACTCCAACCGATTAACACCGCTTACAATGTATATGTGCAAATATATTGCAGCTGCTTCAGCTGAACTCACAAGTCTTCGCAAGAAACAAATAAAACCAAAAAGAACACAAACAAAGCAAAGCAAAGAAAAGCAAAAACGGCTCCAGTGCCGTTTGCATTGGCATGTGGAACAACTATATGCTTCGCAACAACTGAATTAGTAGCTTACCTTAGCTTTGCCAATTGGGAGAGTGAAGCTGGGGTCAAGCACGCCCTTCGACACCGGGAAAGATTCTCCATACCTGTCATGGTTCAAAATTACAATGATATGCTGACAGTTTCACTAGCTCATGTATTAAAATGACAACCTTCCCCAGAACTTAACTAGAGTACCCGTGAGTAAAAAACATACCGACGAGGCAAGATTTACGATGAAACGATATGGGACTAAAATCCATCACAACAGAAATTTACAATAATTGCACACTGAAGACAACTGGCAAAGTGAGATTGGAGGTGGCACACGTACAACAACTCGTTTTCCAGAAAAACAACTGGATCGGGATCCCGGATAGCGGCTTTCATGAGTCCGCGAGCGTCCTCGGCATCATAAGGAACCAAGACCTTCAGGCCAGGAACTTGACCGTACCATGCAGCAAAGCACTGCAAAAATAGACAGGAAAGAGCAGAGCCAATAAGAACTTTAATCACAGGGGAGACATCAGAATGCACAAGATTCTCAGATAGTCACTAGCTCATGTGTACATGTGATCAACCAAATTTCAGCAACACTGCCCTGTAGGACTAATGCACTCAAAAGTAACGCAAGTCACCTGAGAATGTTGAGCAGCAACACCTGCAGCTGCACCATTAGGACCCCTGAATACTATAGGAACATTAATTGTCCCGCCAGACATGTAGTTTGTCTTAGCAGCCGAATTGATGAGATGATCAATGGCCTGTCAACAAGCATCAAATACAAGATTGTGATTTTCAATAGTAAATTTTAAGCATTATTAAAAAAAACTTATATACTTATCATTAATCAAATTAAATGATTATAACGGAATTTCACTTAAAACATGCTCATCTCGCTTCATTCAAAACAATTAAATTACAATCAAACCAATCATGTTCAACTCGACAGCTGAAAAACCAAAAGCTTTCTTCAAGAGTCCATGTCTGCAAATACATATCCGTGTCCAAGAACGAAACATTGAAATTATTATGAGAAGAATGAAAATCAGCTTACCTGCATGGCGAAGTTAAAGGTCATAAACTCAACAATAGGCTTCAGGCCATACATTGCTGCTCCAACACCAAGACCTGCGAATCCAGCCTGTAAACAAGTCACCACGAATGCAGAATCAATACAGATATTACACCTGTAACATTCAGGACCAACTCAATTTGGATATCAAAAGAAAAGAAAAGAAAAAAGACAAGTGTAAAGCAGATGCATAAGCGGAAAAATACAGGTCTACGTGAAGGGAAAAGAAAGGAGGAAATCCACAGAAAACAAACCTCTGTAATAGGGGTATCTAAAACACGATCTGGTCCAAATTTCTGCAAGAGACCCTTCGTGACCTGAAAACAGCGCAAATAAAGACGTCAGTTGATACTAGCTTGCATTGACATGAACGCACACGCCCCTCGCAAAGGTACATGAGTTCCTCTGATGCGCGCAATGCAAACAATGCAAATGGAAAATGCGCTGCAACAAACAAAAATCATCAAACGTAAGGCAGATTATTGTACCTTGTAGGCACCTTGGTACTCACCAACCTGCAGGATACAAAAGAACATAAAATGAGGCTAGGCTCTGTATACCACAAGAGAAAATGCTGTTCTAAACTTTTTTTAACAATGATTGCTAATTAGAAATATCTCTTTCCGCTAAATTCAAACTCAACTCCATTTCACACTAAAGACACGTACTTTCCTATTTTTCTCTTGTAAACACAGTCATCTTTCACGAAATCCTTGTAATATACAGGTAGACACCATAAGGCAATTTCCCAGAGCTTTTTAATTAACACAAAAACGAGTTAATATAAAATGAGCAACTGGCAACATTGAAAGAAATACGGTGGGAAGAAATCTTTACCTCTTCGCCCATGACAAAGACTTTGGAATCAGCTGACATCTCCTCGTCGATGGCACTGTTTAGAGCCTCTCGGACAGTAATCTGTGCACAAACGAATTAAACTTCGCATTCAGCATAGAAATCCCAATGGGATTTCTTCACATGATGTCCAGGTTTCGTTCTGCTCCTAGCTTGTATATCCTAACCACTCCCTCCTTCTCGGTCTTGGGCCCAATGCGGTGCAAATTCAAGATGGCATACTAAGATTTGACGGTCAAGTCCAGTAATTTTCTACCTTCTCTAACAGTCCAACACTCTCTTTAGTAAAGCAGTTCCGTCTCTCTCACGCTCTCAGCATTAAATTTAGACGGTAGCTTTTCCGATTCCAAAGTGTATTGGCAACAGTAAATAAAAATGAAAATAAAAGTTTGCCCTGAATGCTAGGCAAATCAGCTGGTGCTCGGCTGCCCTGTGTAAGTCTCCTACGACAATGAACATGAACACGTCATAAACAAAGCCGATGCGGGAATAAGGACTCCGCAATCACCGAAAGCTTACACCAATCGATCTTAATTCAATCCCAAAACCAAGCAAATCAAAGAGTTATCTCGATTACTGACCGATTCGCCCGAAGACGACATGAACCTCTTAGACACCGCCCAAACCGCTGCCGCAGCAGCTGTGTCACAGCCATGGCCTCCTCTCTGCATACCATACCAACAAACATCCAACAAAACTTTAATATCACACTTCACAAACCCTCACCTCGAACAACCAGAGCCAGGATCCACTCCTGCTCACCCTCACCAACACGACGCCAGATCGCTGATCCCCCTCGGATCCAACCACACCTGGCAACCAATCCCGCACCCTACACCATATCCTAAACCAAACACACCAAAAAAATCCACAAGGCGAAGAAACGGACACGTACCAAACGAGAGGCGAAAGTCGCGAAATTCTTCCCGAGAGCTCCCACCATGGTTGACAGGTACCTCAACCCTGCACGATGCGCAACTACCTCCAGCAATGTGAAACAACACCACTGCGACGGCAGCGCAGGGGTCGAGGCAGGAGGAGAGAATGAAGAGAATGAAGAGAAGAGGAGGAGCAAAGGGACGGGGCAGCGCGAGAAGCGCGCACTAGGTATGAATGAGGCTTCGGAGCGGGCGGGATGACGCTGTGCTGATGGTTGGAGTCAAGAGGCGACACTTGGATGAGGGAAGCATCTTCCGAATCGTCCTTCCGTCCCTCCCTTCGCGACGGACGTCCCTTCGCTCACGAGGGCCAAGTCTCGCCGCGAAGTGTCTCCCATCGGGCATTGCTCGGGGAATGAAATCGCGGCCCATGCGCCATTCATGCACTCTCAACTTTCTCGCTCTCTCCCTCACTCACACTCGCTTTCCGCTGCGTCGCGCGCGTGGGCTCTGCTGATGGCGTCTCTCCCTTGCCACTTCATTCCACGAAGGGTGCCTCTTCATTCATCTACTGGTGCGAACATCCACCTTCCCATTCATCCATTTTGGTTGGATTGCAAGTTCCGAGGGATGAGATTCAAACGAGGAGGACAACCGTGTGCAAAATAATATCGCTGAAGAATCCATGCAACCCAGGTTGATAGAACTTTGCACGATTCACGCCTCTCGACTATTTCGTGATGAATTAGTTAGGAAATGAAGTTTTTGCAGGACTAGGGGAAACGTTCGTGGATTTCGATGGGAGCCATAAGGGAACTGTCGTCGATGTGGGAGAGTCAACTTCTTATGTCACTCTTCAGCGAGATATTCCGTGCTTTGAAGACCCACATGGAAGACTCTCATTCCTTGCAGCAGCTTTGTTTGAATGGAAAAGGAATGAAAGTCATTCTTTGCTTGGGCAACTGGCACCCTTCATGCCAAGTGGAAGGAATGAAGATTTTTGCTACACCAGTGTCTATTTGTCAACAAGGGACAACAGAAAGGGTGTCCTTACATCTCGGTGTGAGTCAACTATTGGGGTCATCGCATCTGCCTTCTTTTGGCCCCCTTTGTGGGGTTCTCATCCAAAGCATTTTCTTAGCAGCGGATTGAGCGTGGATGAGTTCAAAGCTTTGCTGTTCTCACTTAGAAAAGGGCAGGGAATGGCAGGGGCTTTGACCTTGACTCCCTTTTCCATCAGTTTCACTGCATTTTGTTGCCTTCCGTTCTCCTTTATGTTCCCTTCCTTGGGCATAATCTCACTTCCACCAGTGCTCTGTGAAGCTGTGGTGTCAATTAGACTTCTTCGATAAACTAAACAGTTGAAATATCATCATCTGTGCTAAATTGGAGAGATACAAGCTTGAGTGACACAAGTTTATATGAATTTGAGATTTTTTTTTAAATGTTTCATTTTTTTGATTGAGTTGTATGTTTGAGAATTATTTTATTTTGAAATAAGGATCCAAACACAAGAAGTTTTGACGACCAGGTAACACCCCGATGAGAGTTTTCCGATTTGAAAAATTTAGAGGTTCATAACTTGAGGGTCTGTGGAATATTCATGGAAGCTATTAAAAAAGAATCCTGTATGCAGAAGATTTTATACAAAATTTCAGGTCTTTCAAATATGTTTATATTGCATACAATATTATTTACTTCTTCTTCTTACTATTTTATGATTGTACCATAGAGTATATTTAAGATGTTTTAAGAAGTATTTTTTCTTCTATGCATGTACTTTTACTTTTTCATTCATACATGGCAGAAAGAAGTATAATAATTTGATTGTTTTTCAATACATTGAAATTCTATTATAATTATTACAATTACTATATGTTTATGTAAACAAAACCATAAAAGAAGATGTGGCACGTAATAATATTTCATCCCTAATAAAATATCTCAATGCATCAAATTTTAATGAATTGCTTTCAGCAAGTTTGGAACATATTATATGCTTTCTTACATTATTAAAAAACATATCTCTTACTGAAAGCTTTTTGTAATGGAGTTCAATTGGTTATTATGATGATTTTATAGTTAACATATTATATGCTTTCTTACATTATTAAAAAACCATAAGGTATGTATATAATTTTTTATTCCAAAAAGTATTCTATTCATTATGATTGATTTTTTTAATCTTATTTTGAAATTTTTTTCAATTTTTAAAAATTCACCAATAGTGATTTCTAATTCATCTTTCATAATTTTAAAAAATAAAAACAAAAAAAATATTATAAGCTTGATTTTTTTTAAACATATATATAAATTACAAATAAAGATTATTTTTATAAAGTATATAAAAATATATATATATATATATATATTCTTATAATATTTTATTTTTTATAATTTTAAATATATATATATATATATCTTCTAACATAGAGTATTATTATTTTATTATTATTATTATTTTTACGTACATTTAAAATATTTTTATGAAAATCTTATATTACAAATATCAAAATTGATATTGGAAATTATAAGGATAAGAGGAGTTAGGTAGATGTACATAAAAGAAGGTTAATTTGATAATATCTTGGTAAAAAACTTCATAGATGCAAATTTGATTGTTTGAGTATTTATAAGTAATTAGTTGATTAAAAACTTGTCCAAGAAATTAAGAGCATGTTGCACATGTTAACCAGTTATTTTACAAGTAGACAACATGTCACATATGTTGGCTACTTGCAATATAAGTTGGCCACATGGTATACATATGAAGAACTTAACTTCAAAATTAAACATTTATCTTATAAGTTAGACACTTATTGAATGATTCATAGAATGTTGTTAGGTAGTTCTTTAATTAAATGGTATTTATAAAGGTAAGTGTGAAGTCTTCTTTAACCTTATCAATGCCTTTCTTCTTTCTAGTCTAGTATAAAGAATTTCTAGATTCTTTTTTATCATTGGCAATAACCATTATAGTTTTTTCTTATATATATGTATTTTATTTATTTATTTATTTATTTTATTTTTAATTAATGTTAATTTTACTTAGTTTAGTTCCATTCTTTTAGTTCTTATTTTTGATACAAAGAACTTTAAATTTAGACTTTTAGTATTTAAACTTCTAAGTGTCATGTATCAAAATAATTAATTTATACAAAAAAATATAATATTTATTAGTATTGAATTTTAATTTTTAATAATTATTTTCAAAATAAAAAGATAGATCAAGTCAAAATTCAAAAATAAGAGGGTCAAAAAGTTGGATATACCCATGAATTCTAAATTTTAAATTCTAAAATCTAAATCCTAAATTCTAAAGTCATAATCTAAAAATTAAGAGATCAAAAAATCATGTATATCCATGTAACCTTAAATCTTAAATTCTAAATCTTAAACTCCTAAATCCATATTACTTGAAAGTTTAAATCCTAAATCTTATAATATTTAATTTATTTTATTCTAAACTCTAAATCCTAAATACCAAATCTTAAATTTGATATTAAAGGGTTAATATCTTTATGATAGTTAGAAGCAAGATGATCCAAGTAATTATCATCTAATCTTTAAATTTCTTTATAATATATATTATTTTATTTTTAATAGAGTAATAAATAAAAAAATAAATGAAGTAATGTTGAAGAAGTTGAATAGTCATCAATGTTACAAATAAGAAGGAATGTATAAAGGTTGTATTGGAGGAATTTAATTTAATTTTTGTGCTTAATTTGTCTAATTTTCTTTCTAATTTTATATTTTTTTTAGTACTTCTAATAATTTAATATCAATTTATTTATCTTTTATTATTTTAATAAAAATAAAAATTTAAACTTAAAAATTATAATTAAACTTAAAATAAAAATTCACCTATAATGTTTTGTACTAATTTACTTAAAAATATGTTTTTTGGTACTCTAAGTAAAAACTTTGTTCTAAAATCACAATTAAGTTATATCAATGGATTTCAATAATCTATTTTATAGGCTTAAAATATTTTAGATAATTTATAAGTATAGTATATATAAAAAATAATATAAATATGATACTTTATAATTATATATATATATATATATATATATATAATAATTTTAAAAATATTATATTTCCTAAATTATATACTTTTTGAATTTTTTAAATATACCATAGAATCAAAAAGATGACAAATATAAGTGTCTATGAAAAGAATTCAAAGATTACAAATAAAAAATGAGATGTTTTTTAAAAAAAGATGACAAAAAAAAAGTTAAAAAGAAAAACTAAAAAGAAATTAAAATGGCTATTTCCAAAAGATAAAAAATTAAAGATGCTTGAAATTATATTAGAAGCAAGAAAAGAATTAACAAGAATAAGGAATGCTTCACTCTTATTTTTATATATACTATCTAACTAGGAGCAAAGTGGCGATGCTTTATAGGACCTCAAACATGTATCTAACTTGCATGACACATGTCTAATTTACAAGAGAAGTTTCCTATATGTGCGCCACATGTCTAATTCACAAGGGAAATTTCTTATATGTATGCCACATGTCTAGCTTGCAAAAAAAGTTTCTTACATGTGCTCCACATGTCTAACTTGCAAGAGAAGTTTCTTATATATGCACCAGATGTCTAACTTGTATCAAAAGTCACTAATATATATAATGCATGGCCAACTTGTTTGCCTAATTTTTAACCTATCAATCACATATAAATACATAAGATAATTTTAAATTTATCTACTTTAATTTACTTCTACCTTTTCATATTATCTAAATAATTATTAGAATAAATATGTATATCTATGATAGTATATTAATTTAAAATTTTAAAAAGATAAATCATAAAAAATCACAAAATATTAATAAATATAAAGACTTTTATCTAGAAATTTAAAAATTTATGAAATATTATAATTTTATTATTAGATTTATAGACTCTTGAAAAATATTAAGTCAAATTAAAACTTCAAAGATCTAATCTATTTGCAAAGTTAATTAAAAATTTGAAATAGTCAAATTTTAAATTTTTATATATCTATATATTATTGGAATAATTTAATGATATATTTAAAATATATTACATATAAATTTATCTATTGGTGTTTTTAAAACTCTTAAAAAACTTTTTATAACAAAAATCAAAATCTTATAGCTCAACTCAATGTTATTATATCTTGCTAACTAAAAACTTATTGAGCAAGTTATTTATACCGATGAAATCATAAATAATAAGAATAGAGATGTAGGTCAAGTCACAGTCAAAAAATAAGCAAATAAATAAAAAAAAAAAACATACCTGTGTAATTCAAATTCTTAAATCACTGAATATAGGATTAAAAGCAACACAATTAAGAAGATGAATCAATTCAATGTTTTAAAAAAGATATAGCAAAAAAAAGTCAATAAAAAAGTATCAAGTCTAAGATCTTATATCTAAAAATTAAAAATCTCATAAAACATTCTAAGTTCACCACTAGATTTATAAATATCCAAAATAAAGAGATAGGTCAAATCCAAACTTATAAAA